TTTTTTTTTTTTTTTTTTTTGCAAAACACAAACCACTAGGCCATCATCACCAAAGCGCCACCTTTCAGCTTGCACTGGTCTCGCTAGCTGCAAACTGCCAACATCTTGTAGCAGGGTGGGAAACAGTCATCTGAGAGGGTCTGCCTGCAGAGACTTTGCCAAATCAGTGAATATCAGGAGAATAAAAGGTTCCACTAAAAGCCAAGTTCTCACTTAAATACAAAGGACAAAAGAAAGGCATTTTATGCAGACAGAATGGGGGAAAAGTCCCATTTTTCTCTTGCTTTCTGTTCCCTGTGAGAATCCATTTGAGCAAAAACCATGAAAACAATAGGCCCAGCTGCAAGGGCAATAAGGCAATTTATTAGGGAGATGACATCTTTAATGAGAAACACTTGCTGGAGAAGAACAAAAGGGCTAGTTTGGTCAGAAAGATGCTCTTGAGCTTCTTCTGAAGTGCATGAAAAAGTAATTTCGCTTACGCGTCATACTCCGAGCAGAGGAATTTCCTCAGACTCCAGATGTTGTCCAGCACAGATGCTAAACAAATGGAACAAACAGTCTAAGAGTTTCAAAAAAAAAAGAAAACAAAAATTAACTCAAGGGAATTTTATGAGTTCTGTGGCCAAGAAAATCATTAGCAAATAATAAGCTTAAGAAAGAAAGGCTGAGTGAGGTCAGCAATATGTTGCTGGACCTATGAAACTATTCGTAATCATCTGAAATTAAATAGGACGATGAGTGTTCAACTAAGAAAAATGGAAATCTGTGGGTGTAGCTGCTGTATTTCAGATTTCCTCACTGGTCTTCTGAAAACGATCCCATAAAATACTGCTTTGGCTAGATTCCAAAAATGATTAAAAGCAATATGTTTGTAGTTGGAGATGTGAAAATCTAAGATTATTACCTTAAAGTAGTGATTCAAATGCTTCCAGACGAAGACCTGAACTCTGCTCTGAGGAGCACAGCATGTGTCTCCACGCTGGGCCTGTACATACAGGTGAGGTCTGCACATGGCAGGACAGCATCACAGGACAAGGGCCCAATCAAGGTCCCTCTTCTACCTGACTTCAGGGCCACAGCTCCCCATGAAGAGGGCCTGGAAATTCCACACGGGATTTTCCAACCCAGTTTGTCTCTCCCTTGCTCTGAGTGGCTTTGGAAGGCCACAGTGTCATGAAGCACAGCAGTATCCAAGAGAAACACAGAACAAAGCGAGCCTCTGGTTCAAGCTTCAAGATCTATATGCAGCACCAAATCATAGTTGCAAATGCAGTCGGAAGAGCTAGCAAATGTACAGGTGCGTAATCTAGGGGGCAGCTGTGGACAAGAAGAAAACAGGAGCCTAAAGGTTATTACTGCTAGCTCAGGGCTAAAAGGGCACGGTGTGCTCTGAATGTCTCCTGTGTCATTACACTGGGATCCCAGCCTCACTCTCCTTGTCATCATTATTCCAACTCTGTCTTTGTAGGCACTCGCTGTGCATAGTCACCACTGACACCTGTGCACAACCTGCAATCCTTACCTACCTTCAAAGCACGTACTAGTTCCATCTCCAGTTTTTAGGGATGAGACAGAAGAAGCGCAGAAAGGTCAGGTGAATTGTTCCAGTCACAGAGCCTGTTAGTGATGGGCTGGGTAGCACAGCACATGGCCATGCCTCCTGGGCCCCAGCAGTTGATAACTGGCCTATGTTTAAATCCATAGGCCACAGTTGCAGCATGTGGACTCAGTACAGGGAGATCTGTTAACCAGGAGGAGCAGTCACACAGGCTAATATTTAGAGATCTGGCCAGGGTGTTGTACCAAAGAGCCACCCTCTACAAACCTTGAAGTGGTTTTTAAATAAACCTCTTTAAAGCAGTAAATCATCTTCCACGTCTTAAGCAGATGGGTGATAAACAAAGTCAGTAAACTAATGTGCATACGTATATTCACCCAGCAGTTGAAACATGTGTAGAGATCTTTAGTCTGTCAATAAGATTGAGCAGAAGTACAGCCAGCCAAGGCCAAAGCTCCTCTTCTTATCCTACACAGGATGCCGTTCACTGTGGTCTGTTTGCTTACATTGTCTACCTGGCATTGGCTCAGTAACTAGGCCAAAGGGGACAAGGATCAAGGCCAATTAACACAATCTTTGCAGATGTTGACTGCTCTCTGCAATAAAGACAGCAGCTGAGGAGCTCTGGCAGCTTTTGCATTTACAAGCAAAAAGTAGCTCTACCAGTGCAGAAGTCAGCCTGGACTTGAGCCAACAAGGATGACAACACTCTCAAGAGAAAAGAATAATCAGGGACTTTTATACTAAAGTGACTGAACTCTAAACAGAGTTCTGGTTGGCTAAAAAATAAAATTTTGTTAGTCTTCATGTACCTGGTGCTTATGAATGGATAAAGGGGAATGATTTTGCTTCTGCAGAGACAAAATCCACAACAATCATTTCACACTAGAAAAAGGAGCTTCAATGTTAGTGGCTACCAGTTAGGGAAGGCCTTCTGTGAATCCAAGGGTGAACTATGTGCACTACATATGTTCCCTTTTATCCTGCCTGACAAGCCCACCAGGAAGTTAGTACTTTGCCTTTGAGCATGTTAAGAAACTTGTGCTAAGACAAATAATTGGTTCAGGGTTATCCGGATGGTCAGAAATAGATTTGGAGTCATATGCAGATGGGTCTGACCCCAAAGCTGAATCTATGTTTGAATAAAGTCAAAATGTTTTACTTTTTTCTCTAATCAACTAAAATGGCTCACTAAGGAGAACATCTGAACATCAGAGGTTTGAAAAGGGAGTTTGGGGATAGAAAAGATAAGTTTAAGTTTTGGGTAACTACAATAGCTGAAATAAGAAACAGGGAGAAATCAGAAGTAGTTTATGATACCAAATGGAAGGCAATGAATTCTCTTGAAAAAGTGATTCATCATTCCAAAGGAACTATACCAAAATAAAGCAATCAGCATCCTTTTTTTTTTTTCCTTCTTACCTGGTGTTACCTGGGCAAGTCACCTGCATTCTCAAGCCCTTTCCAGACCCAGTGCACATGGCTGTTCAAACCTCCACAATGTATCTGCTCTCCGTTCAAATGACTGGTCCCACATGACAAAAATCACAGCTTTACGATTAGAATCTCCAAGGATGGAAGTTTGTTGGATCCGTCTTGGTCAAGAATCCCTGTCATCCCACCACTCTGCTTGACTGCATGCCCTGGACCTAGGCTGGGCTAAGATCCTTTCTTCCATGCTGTACAGACAGCACCAACCTCTCACACTTATGAAGCTCTTCCTATGATTTTGAATTGGTTCATTTGAGCTGAAGCTCCTAATAGTTAAAAGAATTTGGGATTCAGAGGACAGAATGTAATTTATGATTCTTACTAAGTCAGCCACTTACCAAGTCCATATGAATCACTTAACCACAGAATCACAGCTTTCTTCTCTAAAAAGGGACCAATTAGCATAATTACTTCAGGGCATTATTTTGAAGAGTTTTTGGAATCTAACCTTAGCATAGTGCTCACCACATACTGGCTAGTGTTATCTTAAATGGCAGAAAATTACCTACTCAATTCAACAAGATATTATCCCCATTTAACAGACATAACAGTGGAGCTTAAGGGAGCTTCCATTATTGGCCAACTTTTGTATAAACTGTAATTGATTGAATTAGAATTAGATCCAGGAGTGCATCCCATAATTACCTTCTTGTGCAGAAAACTCCAGCTGAGCAAATCCTCCCTACACAGAGGAAGGCAATTTTTTCAAGTGGGGCTGAAAGTAGTGTGAATGCACCTCCAGCGAACTCTCAAATCTACCCCACCTTTCCCAAGGTTGTTTAAGAGGTGAAGACGTTTGGATGTCTCCTCTGCAGTTCTTCCCTTTTGGACGTCACAATAGCCATAGACCATCGGCTTCAGGGACAAAAATCTCCGCTCTAAAGAGAAAAATTGAAAATAATTACAAAGGTTTTTACAGGGCAGTCCATCGATTTTGTCCCTCCTTCTTTTTTTTTTTTTTTAAAAAAAAGGTTCTCCTGAATTGTGCTCTGTAGCACTGAGCAAACGGACATGAATGAATGGTGAGTTTTAAATCTTCAAACATTCTTCCAAAGGATTTTGGCCAATTTAATGAAAAGAATAGCAAATCTGTAGTAAGGGAGAATGCCTCTACTCTCGCCTCGCTGCGGCTTTCCTATCCATTCTACAATTTTGCTTTTATCCACATATCACAGAGGAGAACAGAATGAAGCAGTGAATGCAAGAAAGAATGGAAAGCACGTTGAAGTTATAAATCAGAATGTCACTGCCCACCTTTCACAGTTCAGCACACACCTACAAGCGAGTGAACTGTAATTGCTAATTGCCAAAAGGCAGTAAGTACCCTAATGTATCAGGCATAAGAGTTAAAAGGTGAAGACCCTTAGGCATCATAACTGAATGTGCTGCTATTTGACATCAGTTTTCCAAACACTAGACCAGTAGTAATGTGGAGGAAGTTAGGGGATTTGAGGATCTGCCTTTTGGGTTAAAGGAACATTGCAAATGGTTGTGTACTAAGAACTGTGCAAAGTCAGGGTGAAAGCATTGAGTGCCAATGGTCAAATCCATCTGATGGGGTAGGGAATAGCACCAGGAAGCTCCTGGCCTGTGCAGTGGTTCCTCAGTCAGGCAGTGTCTACAGGGTAATTCCAATGAAGTTCATCAGGACTTCCTACAAATTCAATGGGGTGGGTGCCATAGGTGAGTGGGCCAGTAGTATAATGGGGACACTTGAGAAAAACAGAAACTTTAGAGAAAAGTTAATATATATATAAGAACCATGGAAGTAAAAAGGTTACTGAGTTTAGAAAAGTGTGTGCTTGCATATCCTGAAAATTCAAAATTACATTGTGCTGTGTCTTCTCCGTATATGGTGATCGCTGGGCCTCTTGGCAGATGTATGTTCTTGTTCTCACATGGTTTCCCACATCATGGCAAATCACTTGTGTGCCCCCTTGGCTAACTAATAACTAAAATGATGTGTGTTGCACAGGAACATAACTTTGAAGAGCCACATACCCTTCTCACTGTTCTGCAAATCACGTTACAATGAAACACGTGTCAACTTGAGGAGGTGAAGGTATATGCAGATATCTGGGAAACATTCCTAGGTGTTTCTGGGAGATGTTAGCATTTGAATCAGTAGACCAGAGATAATTGCATTCCTCATTTTAGGTGTGAATCATCCAACCTCTTGAGGGCAAACAAAAAAGTGAAGGGCAAGTGCATTTGAACACTCTCTCTCCTTGAGTTTGGCATTCATGTCCTCTTGTGCTTGGATATCAGAGTTCCTGGTTATTTTCTTCTTTTAAGCCACGACTTTCACTGTCCGTCTTCCCTGTCCCCAACTGGCCCTGTGCTCAGCCCAGCAGCATCAGAGTGGGAGGTCACACCTTGGTTCTAGGGTTAAACTACATAACAGCTCTCCCAGCTTTCCAGCTTGTAACTGGCATACTGTGGGACTTCTAAAACCCTACAGATATACAAGCTAATTCCAATAACAAATTTTTATCTATTTATCTGTCTTATGATCTATCAATCTATTTATCTCTCTAATTTATTGGAAATGTTTTCCTCTGAAAAATCTTGAATAATATGAATATGTAACATAATATTCTGGATATCTAACATACTCAGAATTCAATTTGCAGGTATAATCTACTGATATTTGGAGGTTGCATGGTTTTGCCGCTGACCTAGTCTGTCTGACTGATGTGCTTATAACTACTAGTGTGCCTGGAAGTAACTGGAAGGTTTCTTAAGATTTCCAAAGCAGTGTATGACTAGCCCTGAATTCCACAGACTCAAAAGCAGATTTGGTATAGGAGGGAAAGAGAAATGCTCGAGCTTGATAATTGCATCTTCATTTATGGATTACAGGTTCTGTTTACTCAACTGTCTTCTGCCTCTCACTTTATCTCTAGGCAATTTGGGTTGTAGATTTAATATGGCTTCCTTCCAGACAGCTCTTTCAAGATGGTCACCTACATGGAAAGTCTTTATAAGTAAGGCTGGGAGAGGCTTTCTGCACTCAAGATTAGTGATCTAGGTGAGCTCTAAGAAGGTAGGTCTGCCGTAAAGCAGATCTGATGGCTTTGGATATGGAAAAGCATTTGACATCTAAATATGATTTCAATCTCAACTTCCACTTTCACTGTAGGCAACATGGATGAGCACTGGATTTAGAATTGGAAGATATGTTTCTGATGCACAGATGTGTCTTTGGCCAGAATGAATGAGCTCAAGGAATGAAACCTGTTTTGGCAAAACCCTTAGAGACTCCAGGGAGATAAAAGAGAAATGAGAAAACGTACAGCAGTTCTGTGTCTCTGCTTCTCCAGAGTTTCTCTGCTTTCATTTCCTTTATCCATTGTGCTTCCCAAGATGCTATTAGTTGAGAGAAATTAATATAGCTCTAATATTTTATGTCCTAATTATTTTATTCTTACCTGGTGAGAGGTTTATGCGAGCCCAAGTGCCCATTTTTCCACATATTCTTTGTCAGGAACATGGCTTTTTGGAATTAGCATCTACCTGAGTTTAAATCTTAATTTACTTAATGTTTCTTAGACTGTGAAATGAAAATAACATATTATTAACTTTGATAATTAAGTATTGCATGACGTATTTAGCACTTAACTGAGGCCTAGTCCCTGTAAATAATACTTCACTTTTTATAATCCTTTCTCTTCTCCAACTAGTTTCCAAGTATGACTTAGTTAAGAGTCTTAGCCTGAAATCCCTTCCTCCAAAAAAAGTACAACATAAATGACTCATTTATTATAACTGAGATGATTACAAATGCACATTTTTTTAAACAGAGGGATTTTGCACCATCTAGTATCTTCTTGCTCCTTTCTCTCTGTATAAAAATTCATATGGATACCATACCCACCAAATCTCAACATGCCAGCAAATGTAATCACTCCACAACTAACACTTTATCACAGTTTCTGTTGCTTTTTGTGAAAGATCAGGTGTAGAAAATATTTTAGAAAGGATTTTCACAGTAATTTTATGGATTTATAGGTTATCTAGGGTTGTATAATTTAGGAAACAAATCAGAGATTTTGAAGTAGACTCAAGACCAAAAGATGAGTAAATAGCCTGTCTAGCTCATTTGATCAAAAACTCTGCCTTTTGTTGACTTTAAATTACTTTATAGCTCTACATTATAAGAAACTGACGATATTGCAAATAACTCATTCATAGAGATGGAAATGAGTTATGTCTGGCAAAATGCAACCAACTACCACCTTGTGGACAGACCCATTGTACATCAATTTATAAACACTGTGTAGAGTTCCTAATGGCCTGTATACTCTTCTTGTCTTTGAGATCTTCACTGAACCAATTCCAACATTTTTCTTGTTTCCTTATTAATAAATGAGTTAAGGGAGGGCAGGGGTATGGGGAAAAAACAAGAACCAGTATATGTCATGTAAAGGTACAAGAACCCAATGATAAATGTAACTGTATTGTTTGTTTTAAATGTACCAATAAACTTAATGGGAAAAAAAGAATTTTATAATTTGAGGTTTTAAGACTATGAAAAAAAATAAATGAGTTAATAAAGTCTTTGACATTTATCTCATACTTATTTGTGTCACCATCATATTGACTCCTAAGAAGTATCCTTCAATAATTTCAAAGACAAATTTCTCTTCCAACTTTGACTTGGAAAAAGGAGGAAAGGGGAGAAAACATGTTATATTCTTATAAGATTCCTGACTCTAAAGCTATATCACAGATTGCCATTTTCACTTCGCCTCTAAAAAGAATGGAAAACATAAAGCTTGGGAAAATCTCCATTAAGATCTTTTGGTTTATAAGAAACATGCCTAAGATTTAGAAAAAAAAAAGAAATTATAATAAAGTGTGAGGGTATAGCATCAATCTAAGAGTTTGGGGATGTTTGAGGGTTTATTTTGTAAATGAAGTATTTGTTGCTTCTGCCAAAATAGGATTTACATGATTTTTTTGGTAGGATCTGGCTAGGGCATAGTTTTGTATATGTTAGGGTGTGGGGGATATCTGCTGGAGTGAAGCTGGAGGCCGGAGGACAGGCTCATTAGAGGAGGTGCACAGCCAGCCTTGCCAAGCTTCTTTCCATTTTCATGATGTCTCTCTTGGTCACTGATATGCAGCTGAAGCAACTGTTTAGGAGAAATGAGACCCAGGAGAGAGCAAAAGGAAATTCAACATCATAAACTTAGAGACATTAGTGGTCTTTCCAACCAATCAGAGGAGGGTAAACGGGGTCATGATGAGAATGCATAGCTCTATCTGGAAAGATAGGATAGTCCCAGTAATCTAATATGGGATCCTCTGATGCACCCAAGAAAGTTTCAGAGTCTTCAGGATTGATTTGCACAGTGACATCCTTTGAGAGGTCTTCCCTGATCTCTCCACGTGAATCTGATTTACATCAGCTTCAAACAATCTCTTTCATTCTTAATTACTTTCTTAATATGATTTTTTTGTACTTTTTACTATTATATATGTCTCTGAAGCAAGAATATCCATGTGTTACTTTGGGATTCCTTGTGACATCCCCACAGGCCATGAAACTTTTGTGAATCAATAAGTAACTAATAAATTGTTCACTATTTGTCAACTTTTGATATTAACGAATAACACAGACTCACACATGATCATCTTGCAAGGGACAATTTGCCTTGGGATAAATCTGAAGAACATAATAGTGCTTTTAAAATAAAACAAATAGAAAAGAAATACTAAATCTAATGCCAAGGAAAACATTTCCTTTCTGCAAGATGTCTCACATGAATGTCAAGATGAATTCATAGCAGAACACAGTGGTCAGAAAAGGATATTTTCTCTGTGGAATAAAACATTAGGTTAACAAGATTTAATTTCCATAAAAAATACCTTT